TTCCTTAGAAAGCAGAGGGGTAGCTCAGGACATGATTATCCATTGGATCTAATGAAGTCTTGGTTAGTTCTGATCCTTGCTCATGAAAAGTCTCCAAGCTCTTGATTCTATTATTTTTGGGGAATTGGAACTTCTCATGAGGCTTCAGCCTGCAGGACTGACCAACCTATCCATTTCATGACCAGCCCTGGGACCTACCAGAAGAAGGCCAGTGTTGCACACACCTCAAAAGAGCTTTGCTCTCCTCTTTGAAGATATATTCACCCATTTATGAATCATTTGTGCCAAAGCGATAATGTTCTTCCTAAAGGCTGTCTCATGGTCTAAAAGTATCACATACATAGTACTTTAAGTTTGGGGAAAACAATATTACTTGTTTTTTTTTTTTTTTTAGGATTTTATTTATTTATTTTGAGAGAGAATGTGCGAGCAGGGGGAGGGGTAGATGCAGGAGAGAGAGAATCTCAAGCAGACTCCACGCTGAGTGCATAACCCAACATGGGACCCGATCCTAGGACCCTGAGATCATGACCTGAGCCGAAACCAAGAGTCAGACACTTAACCAACTGAGCCACCCAGGTGCCCTATATTACTTGTTTTTTTTTTTCCAAAGATTTTATTTATTTATTTGACAGACATCACAAGTAGGCAGAGAGGCAGGAAGAGAGAGAGGGGAAGCAGGCTCCGTGCTGAGCAGAGAGCCCGATGTGGGGCTCGATCCCAGGACCCTGAGATCATGACCTGAGCCGAAGGCAGAGGCTTAACCCACTGAGCCACCCAGGTGCCCCTTACTTGTTATTTTTAAAATGTGTTTGTGGGGTGCCTGGGTGGCTCATTTGTTAAGCGTCTGCCGTCTGCTCAGGTCATGATCCCAGGGTCCTAGGATCGAGCCCCACATTGGGCTTCCTGCTCCGCGGGAAGCCTGCTTCTCCATCTCCCATTCCCTCTGCTTGTGTTCTCTCTCTCACTGTGTCTCTCTCTGTCAAATAAATAAATAAAATCTTTTAAAAAATAAATAAAATGTGGGGCGCCTGGGTGGCTCAGTGGGTTAAAGCCTCTACCTTCAACTCAGGTCATGATCCCAGGGTCCTGGGATCGAGCCCCACATTGGGCTCTCTGGGCAGCGGGGAGCCTGCTTCCCCTTCTCTCTCTCTCTGCCTGCCTCTCTGCCTACTTGTGATTTCTGTCTGTCAAATAAATAAATAAAATCTTAGAAAAAAAAGAAAAATAAATAAATAAATAAATAAAATGTGTTCATACCAAAGGAGGAATATTGCATTTTTTTCTTACGTGGAGGGCATGTGTGACAATGTGAAGGTCATTTTCCTTCTTTCAAGAATGGAAATAACACCTCCTAAATTGAGTTCTGCTGGTCTTTTTTCACCCCCAGTATTGTTTTGGCCATCGAGTGCATAAGATATCACTCTCTGTAAGGATATTCTTAATGCTGTATGTAGCATTTGAGTGATTTCTCTTAGGCATTTTCAACAGAAATCTTCTGTTATGCCCTTCTTTACCAAATTATTTTGTCAACCATGACTTTTTACTTTCTCAGCTTTTATTTTCCTAAACACGGTGTATAAAGTGAACCGATGAGTCTGAGGAGTTAGGAAACAAATTATGCAGGATACTCAACCCCCAATATGACAGGTGACTTTGGGTGAGGCATTTAACTCATGGAGCTTCTGTGTATCTATTGACCAAAGGATGGATATTGATCCTTTGCATTTGGATACCTTGGACAATTATTAGAATTGAATGCTGTTGTGGACATCAAAACATTTTGATATGTTGAAAGCATATCATGCTTTGAGTATGAGATTGTGGTGTTATGAGTATGAGGTTGTGGTGTTATCTTTAGTTCTACTTTGTGATCTATGAAGAGCATGCATTACTTGAATCATTTAAATTATACTTAGGAAAACCCAAATTGGTGAAAATAAAAGTTTAAAGCAGAGGCTGAAAGATTTTTAAAAAAATGTATCTGGCAGACGTATGACTTATATTCATTCCACAAATTGGCTTTGGGCTTAAACTAGGAAATGCATAAATTAAAAAAAAATTCTCAATAGATTTTTTCCCCCCAAACTGTGAATCTTATCATAGGGAATTTTGTGCTGTGTTTTGGATAGAGCTTTCTTATTTGATATTAATTGACTAAGCATATTGTAAAATGATACTCATTTAATCTTTATTGGAAAATTTGGTTTCAGAATTTGGCAGTTCTGTTCAGCAGCACAGATGAGGAGTTTAATGCTAACACTGGAAGGATTTTTAAAAATCTACAGCAAGTCTGGTTTATAACATTTGTTTGGGGCCAAGGTGTTTGTTTGAGAATGCCATAAAGAGTCTTAAGCCTTAAGTCATCTCGATCTGTTGTTAAAACCAAGTGGTAGGAATTGAAAAATGTTTAAAAGGCAAATCTCCCAGTAATCCATTATCTGAAAAATTGTAGCAGTAGTTGGTTACTTCATGTCATTGCTTTGTTGGGAAAAACTTCTATAACTTGGCCAATAGGCACATCATACCCTCCCTCACCAACTTTTCCTAGCTGTAGTAATAATACTCACTGGGCATTTGAGATTTGGCCGACAGTACAGAGAACCCACAGAAACATAGCCAATTTCTTCCGGAAGCTTTGAATCTAATGAAAACTGGTAAGTTCTCTTCCTCAGATCCATGATTTTATTCTTGAACTATTTCCTTCAAATACTATTATGAAAGAAAAACATCTTTTATAAAAATCTCCAATAACATTATAGGGGAGTTATCTATTTTTCCAGAGTATGCAGCACTCAAAAACCTTTTCCCTGAGATTTAATCTTATTTATATAATTCAAATAAGTGCACTGAAGAATTCTTCCCACTGAATGTAGATTAGAATCAGAGATAAGTCAAGAATCCATCTTACTATCATTCAGGATATCTTTGCCTACTCAGTGGCTGGCAGATATGCTTAGAGGTGAATCCTTTTAAAATCCTCTGAGGTGGGGACCACCCACCCAAAATTATATGGTACATACATTAATTAGATATGATTGTTTAGCTTACGATGACCCCCCCAGGGTGCCTCCCCATCCCTCCATAAGCAACATAAGGGCTCTTCCTAAAAGTCAGACCCATGTTTGGAAGGCATTTTAGCCTCAGTTTACTATTTTTAGTGTGAGGAAGAAAAATGAGACCAATCAAAGACTTTGCCTTATTTGTTTGGAAAGGAATGAGCAGTCAGACAGAAATGATATTTTAGGAATGATACAAAAAACATAGCATTAATCCTGCCAAGATGAGGAATTGTGAGGCTTCCTTCCCAGTGGATAACCAATACTATTCATGATAATAATTTTACTATTATCTGTTAGTTATTAGAAATTTGCTGTGGTTACACACTGAGCTAATGGCTTTCCTTGCATTTTTCTCAGTTTATCGTCTTAAAACTCTATGAAACTGTAGCTCTTCAGAAAAGTCAGATAACTTATCCAAGATCACACAGTTGAGAGGTGGCCAAGTTAGTCTTTTTATCTGAAAAATTCCTGCTTTTAGCTATTCTACAATATTCCTCTCTATGGAAATGATTCAATATTTGAATGGGTTTAAAAGGCCATAAACATCAACTTAAAAATCTGCATCTTATCTGAAAATATTAATGATGGTTAAGTCAAATGTGTAAGGGGTTAAGGTGAATTTCCTCTGCTTCACTGAGGTTTTCAGCATTTTTTTTTTCATCATAGAACTCCATTCCTGACAAGACCAGGATACCTAGGTGAACAGATTGTTCTTTTAAATTTCTTTTCATTTTGATATTTCACAATTCCTCAGTGTTCTTGGAACTTTCTCAGAGCTCATATGAAGTATCCAGTATTACATTCTGCCCACAGTGACTACCAGTTCCACATCCTCATTTCTCTGTTTCTACAATGAGAATAATATTTTTTCTTTCTTCCTGGGGACACCTTACTGACACCTTACACCTTACTGGGGACACCATAGCTGTAAGTGTTTTAAGTTTATGAGAAAAACCAGAAACAAAAATCCAAGTTACCATTGTCACTTAACTTACTTTCATTGTGGTGCAAGAATGGAAAGAATCTTAGGGAAGTTCTGTGGCACACTTAGCTTTATTGAAATTGAACAAATATTTTTAATAATCCCTTTTACAGCACATGTAAAATTTAAGTTTTTCATTATATTTTTACAGGTTGTCTTTTATCTGAGTAAGCAAAAATACGTCTTTTTTTTTTTCTTACTTAAAACATGTAGCCAGGATTCAAACCACGTAGCTCTGGTACCAAAAAGGCAACGGGTTATGAAAATCACAGTACAATTTTAAAATTCTTTAAGTTAGTTAAGGATATTTAAAACGATATTCACTTGATTGACAGTAGAAATCATGGGTCATTTGACATTAAGACTAGTAGTTACACCTACAATGAGAGCAGAAATGGAAAGTTCAAGCTAATATGAGCTACACCATTCAGGACACACCATCTCCATAAATACTGTGGCCGAGAGGTTGCAATGGCTAAGTCACACTTGAGCAGTTAAAGTCACATGTAAATATAGCCAAAGCGAAAAAAATACAGTGTGCTGATAGGGATCTAAAATAAATGGGCACTTATTTTCAAGAGGGTATACTATCAAACCAATTACACAACACACAATTTAAACCCTCAAATTACATTTAGGAAGGAAAAATAATATTAAACTGCACACCTACACGGACAGTAAAGTAGAAATATGTTCTTTGTGGTTGGTGTTTGTTTTTTGTTGTTGTTTTCTCAATAAGTAGAAATAATTTACGACCCACAAAAGGATTTCTCAGGTGAAACACTAATTACAGACATTGTAAAGAACGTATCTCAGAGTACTTGTTTTAAAAACGAGGCAGCATTTTCCTGAAAAAGTTTGGTCCTTGACTCACTATAGGCTAGTCACTATGGTCAGATGGTAAGCATTTTCTGCGTGTGTGTGTGTGTGTGTGTGTGTGTGTGTGTGTGTGTGTGTGTGGTTTAAGCTAACTTTTCTGTACCAGAATTAGTCAAAACCAAACCAAACCAAAGACAAATAGCGTTTCAAGAACTTGACCTTGCATCTCATGTCTAATTAATACATCATCTGAAAGAACAATGCTAAAGACTATGAAGGGAATTATGCTCACGTGATTCTGCAACACCTTAATTTTGTGCAAACATTTTCCTTCATTGCCCAGATAACTTATCTTTATTCATGTAGGTACCAGGAAACCTGCCCTCATGATCTTCCCGCCCCCCTCCCCCAGTCTCCTCCTCTGTCAAAGTGATATAAAGACAATTTCACTGTGTATTTACAAGCACAACAGTTAGGCAAGAAAGTCCAGGGTCTGAAGGGCACATCTATTTCTTGTGGACATCTTCATGCCTAATGATCTTGTATGTGATCCAGTAAAAGATGTTGAAAATGAGGAAGGCCAATGGGAAGGCAGCTCGAGATATCGTGTCAATTCTTTTTGCCCGGTCCACAAACTTCTTCTTGATGGCATCTGCATCTTTTGGAGGTTGTGGGAGAGGATTGGCAGGTGTGGCCTTGACAGCTGTTCCATCTTTCACTTGGAGGCAGTGACCCATCCCATAACCACTGAAATTAAAACGACTTTCACGAGTAACATCTTCTTCCTGGGAGAATAAAGACAGAGGAAGCACAGATTGGTTGTCAGTCAAATCAGATGGAAGATGCTTAAAATTCTTCAGAAGTAAAAGGATAAATCACAGTTAACTGGTAGTGTGGGAGGCTTTTGGAATGCGGAGTTCTCTTTCAAGTTCAACTCAATTATTCATGGAACAGATACAGTTCATTAACTTTCAGGCTGAGAAATTAAGAGTAAGAATAACGACTTTGTGGTCATTTTAATTAAGAAACAGAAACACTTATATTTAGCACTGACTTTCCCAAAATCTTGTTTATTAATCCGTAACTTTGAATGGACTGTTTTAAAGCCAAGCCTCCAAATCCAAATATTATATCCTACATCTATATAGAGGTCCCCTCATTCATTTACTCACTTACGCATCATTCAGTCATTCAAAAAATCATTTACTGAATCCCTGCTATGTACCTGGCATTGAGCTAGGAATTTTTAGTTTTGTGGCCCATTCAAAGCCTAGTTCCTTCCATTAACATTGGCCTTAATGTTCATGTTACGCCTAAGATTAACCCCCTAAATGTATACCTATTTTCCCTCCAGATTAAACATTCACTGTACGGTGGTGAATATTTCTTCCATGGCTAATTGTCTGGTGTCAGTTTTTTTTTTTTAGGCAATCTAGTTTTTTTTAAAGATTTTATTTATTTCAGAGAGAGAAGGAGCAGAGGGAGGGGCAAAGGGAGAGGAAGAAGCAGACTCCCTGCTGAGCAGGGAGCCCGACATAGGGCTTGATCTCAGGATACCGGATCAGGACCTGAGCTTAAGGCAGACAGTTAACCGACTAAGGTACCCAGATGCCCTAATTAAGTGTTTTATTTTATTTCCAGTATTGTGAGCATACAGTGTTATATTAGTGTCAAATGTGCAATACAGAGATTCAACAATTCTCTACATTACTCAGGGCTTATCATGATAAGTGTACTCATAATCCTCATCATCTGTTCACTCATCTCCCCACCCACCTCCCCTCTAGTAATCATTAGTTTGCTCTCTATATTTAAGTCTGTTTCTTGGTTTCTCTATCTCTCTTTTTTTTCCCTGTTGTTCACTTGTTTTGTTTCTTAAATTCCACATATGGGTAAAATGTGCTATTTGTCTTTCTCTGACTGACTTATTCACTTAGCATTATGCTTTCTAGCTCTATCCATGTCATTGCAAATGGCAAGATTCACTCTTTTTTATGGCCTAGTAATATTCCAGTATGTGTGCATGTGTATCTGTATGTATCACATCTTCTTTATCCATTCATCTATCAATGGACACTTGAGCTGCTTCCATAACTTGGCTATTGTAAATAATGCTGCAGTAATCTTCGGCGTGCATGTATCCCTTTGAATTAGTGTTTTTTTTATTCTTTGGGTACCTATCTAATAGTGTGATTGCTGGATCATATGGTAGTTCTTTTTTTAGCTTTTTGAGACACCTCCATACTGTTTTTTATGTTGATTATTTCTACATGAATTAGATAAAACACTGAAAAACTGCAACATTAGGGTAAAGTGCAAATAGCTTTTGTAGAGTATGGAATCTTGATGTGTGGTTGGGTCAAAATGGTGGAGTTGAAAAGGTGGGATTGAAAGGACCTGATTAATAAAAATTTAGTTCTAGGGGTGCCTGGGTGGCTCAGTCAATTAAGTGACCAACTCTTGCTTTCAACTCAGGTCTTGCATGATCTCACGGGTCATGAGATGGAGCCCTGTGTTTGGCCCGCACTCAGTGTGGTGTCTGCTTGAGATTCTCTGTTTCTGTTCCTCCCCACACTTGCTTGTGTTCTCACTCTTTGCCTGTCTGTCTGTCTCTCTCTCTCTCTCTCAAATAAATAAATAATAAAAATAAAAATTTTGTTCTAAATAGCCACCAATTGAATCATCTTTTAAAATGAGTTCAAGGCCTTCCACAATACTGTTCAACCCCTGTGAGTCACCAAAGGCACTGCACTCTTTATTTTGCCAGATAATACCAGTGCTTATATTTCCCAAAACACAAGAAAACTTGGTATGAATTTTATTTCATAGTGTTTATTGCATATCGGTTGTGCCTTCAGCCATGTGTAAAAGATATATGGAGTGAAGTACTTTAACATACTATGAATGAGAGCCCAACTGTAATCCAAATGGTACAGCAAGGACAAATTTATGTCAGGAAAATCAGGCCAAAGATCTTATAATAAAGTAACTGTAAAGCTACTCCTTTATAAAATCATTTCCCAAGTACTTTAATTTATATGGGATTGTTCTATATGAGTTGGTTTAAGACACTCTATCTCATTTCTTAACAAAATGTAATAAAGGATTTTTCATGTGACAATGAAAACAAAGTGTTGAGTCTATGGCAGACATTCTGCTAGGTACTCAGAAGCAGTTGATGAAGTTGGACAAGCACCCTCCTTGCATGGAGCTGTAAGAACCCAGTGGAAGTGTTCAACCTAAAGATACTATCATATAAGGAAGCTGGCTAAGAAAACCCAGCCTGACACTAGAGTACTTTCATGTGCCCAAAGCTCAATAATGAAGACTTTAATTGTACTTAGCTTCAAATATTGAATCTTTTTTCTTTGCCTTAAAATGTGATTGATATATTTTATAGATGCAAAAGCTTTAAATAAGCATTTTAAAATGTGGAGTAAGCAGATATATTAATCATTACAGTGTTATCAGAAGACTTATTCAGTACTCAGCAAGAAAGGAAAAACACAGGTCATTAGGGGGAGAAGACTTGGGAGCCCCATGGGTTATACGCTCTCTTGGACTTTCTATTACTAACTGATAATTAGATCTCAACTACTGAGTGAGAGAAGTAGAAACAGTGCCAGTTGGTTTTGTAGACAGAGATACAGAATAGGAATTTGGATATTTGGGTTACAGGTCACGCTCCAGGGGTTTTAAGCTGTGTTGATCTTAAGCAAGCTATTTATTCTTTAAAGACCTCAGGGGGTTGCCTGAGTGGCTCAGTTGGTTAAGCATTTGATTCTTGATCTCAGCTCAGGACTCAGTTTCAGGGTTGTGAATTCAAGCCCTGGGTTGGGCTCCACATTGGGCATGGAGCCTACTTAAAAAGAATAAAAAATTAATTAAAAGCAGGCCTTGGGGACCTCATACCAAAAATGTCAAGGCTAGACTAGATCTGTGGGTCTCAGCTTTGACTGCTGGGGATGTTTTACAAGTATATGCATGCCCGCCTCCCCTCCTAACCCCATCCAGACCAAGTGAATTAAAGTTTCTAGGGAGATTTAAAATCCAGTAACTCTAATGCAGAAGGTTGGAAACCAGTGACCTAGATGAGCTTTAAGGGCCAGCTCTAAAATGCTGGACCTATTCTATGTTATTAAGTCTAAAATTACTTTTCGAATGGGAACTATTCCTCAAAGTGCATTTCCCCTTATCTACCTAAATTTACTGTGCCTTTTTTCCTTTCCATATCTGTAGAATCTTATAAATTGCTGTTCTCACCTCTATAAACATTTAGAAAGTCATGATTAAGCATATAGATCACTGCCTGAGTGAGATAAGATTCTTTTTAAATTCCTGGATCCCTGAAGAAGTAGAAAAGGTGGTTAGCTAGTAACGTGCTTTAGCACGCAGAACAAAAGGAAACCTAAATACCCACATCCATGTTTCTTTTCAGACCGACTCATTCATTTACTTTCTGTAGTCTTTCCTCACATACTGTGAATGGACAGCCAAAGAGATTAACTCATTCAATTAAGTACCAGAGCTCGAGTAGAAGGATGCCAGGTTAGGTTATCATTAAGTGGTACATTGCCTGGCAAACTGTGACTGCTTAATAAACGTTTGTTGAGTAATGAACAAAAGGGAATTTTAAGAAGGTTTTTTCCTATTCTTGAAAACACTTTCCTCATTCATTCAATGGTACTTCAAATTATGCTTCTGAGCATAGTTACAGCTAATTAAATCCATTCTTTAAAATTCTCCGCACAAAAATAAATTTGTCGTAGGTAGAAATTATTCATTTAATTTTTCACATGCAGGAGATATGAATGCTAGTTTAAGGGTCTTCTTATTTACCGTTATGACTCATTCAATGCATTTTAAATATAGAACCTTAAATTATCCACATCAAAGGGTATGGTTTTGATTCAGAAAACGTAATAGCAACCAATTTGAATTTTTGTGTTATAATGAATGACTAATTGCCTTTATAGCAGGTTCAGAATAAAATGTTATGGTAATATGGCAAGATTCCTATATGAGGGTAAAATGGAGATGAGCTTGAGTCATGGGTAAGCTAAAGTTAAAAGAAAGAACAATCTGTAAGCACAGCTTAGTTGAACATATTAACAGGGAGAATCAGATCTTCCCAGTAAGGAAAGAATTGTAGGCATATATTCTCCACTTCTAATTAGCCAGGAAACCAATTAGATATGTATTGCTGCTGACCCACTATCTTCAGTAACTTTGAACAGTAAATACTTCTAGCTCCCTCTGTTTTGTTATTCACTGATTAAATTTTCACAGAAAATGAATCATCCAAACCTTCATTACGTTCAATTTCTATATCCCATTTTGAGTAAATCTCCTTAAATCCCATCCTGCCATATGAAGCACTGTCATGGCGCTATGTAATTCATTTGAGATTTGTTATTTTATTTAATTCATGCCTCAGTTTTACTTATTGTAAAATTTACTCATTCCTGTATTTGGGATAATTCTTGTCTAGATGTGAAATGGAAGCTAAAGCTCACCAGAATTGCACTGTAGTGAATTTTTTGTCATAAGCAAATGATTTCAATATAATTAAAGAACATGGTATTTATAAAATGAAAGATTTTTAGGGGAGCCCATAGTTACGATTTTTGTTTTATGCCCAGGAAAGGAGGAAAGAAAATGTTTTCTAAAAACTGGTGTAGGGAAAACCTCTTTCCATCACATTTCTCAACCAGATTCTTTGATTGGGTTGAGTCTCTTCTGTTGGAATAGGAAATTTCTCCATTGGAACTCCAGGTTGCAGTGA